TGCTCTCTTCATCACTTCCCTTCTAAAATACTGTTGTTGCTTCTTCACTAGACCATGCCCCCAGCAAATCTTTATGACCTCTAATCAATCCCAGAAATGATTTCAATACTTTTCTTATTACCTGTGTCTTTCAGGTGCTCAGAGCATGAATCACCCTCCGTAACCCACCTTAAAGTAGCTTAGATCATATGCAGTGCAACCCCACCCATCTCCAAAAACTTATTCATAGTTAAGATTCTTCACTGTTATTCTATATAACCCCTTGCCTTCGTACCTTCTCACCCCATCCACGACATGAAAGGGATTCATGCGCTTGATATAGTCTAGTCATCTGCTGGAAATTCTCACCCAAGTTATAGCCCACGTTTTGCCTCATGCCAAGGCACTCAGACCAAGTAGGCCACATGGCTGACTCTCTTGCGCAAACTTCAGGACACAGACAATGCTTTGGTACCATTCCCCTAATACCTCACGGTATTTTTTGTGCTTAAGCCTTTATTTTTTCTATTTGAGTTGTAAGCTCCTTGAAGAGAGGAAAAATGGCTTATGTCTTTTAACATGCTCCATGCCTAACAGATTACCCTGCAAACTCAAGTTACATAATGAAGATGCCAAAACCAATGAAATTAGTCATTGTTACACACCACAGATCGGTGCCTCTAAAACTGTCATTGTGCATGAGAATGACTTAGGATGTTAGCTAAAAATGTATATTCCTAGACCCAAATCCAAAGATTTGGTTGGTCTCAGGTAAGGGGAATAAAATTAAAGACCTCTAGGGAATTCTAATGCAGTTAACACACACATGGTATTTTGAAAAACATCATCACTGATTAATCTGAGACAGTAAATACAAATAAAAACAAGTACAAAAGTATGCAGAATTATAAACAGTGGAGAAAGAAAATCTGGCATGTTGCAAACTAGTTGCCATTATTAGGAAGTTTTTTGTGATAGTAACCATAAACCATATGTGCTTTTACTATTTTCATTTAAAATAGCTATTCTCATTAAAGTAATTAGTGTTACGATTAAACTAATCTTTTTTTTTGCATTTAAGCTATAAAGTAGGGATATTTGAAGTTATTTATGTAAAGCAGAAAATAAGTTATACTTGCTCATTCAATAATATTTGATCTTCTAGATTATTCCCTTAGTTGATACAAGATTATAAATCTTTAAGCTTTCTTTTGTTGACTTTAACACAGGCATGTGCAACATAAGACATGCTCTCCTTGAATTCATTGCTCTAAAATATATAAGGATCTAGCTATTTATACTCCCTGCTAGCCCACTTTTTGGAATAAAAATATACTATACATAATTCTCCCTTTTTAAATTATAAACAATTTTTTCTTTTAAAAATCAAAACTCCCAACTCCAACCAATCAGAGTGAACTCTACGCAATCTCATGTGGGCAAATGATTGCATTTAGCCATCTAGTGCTCTTTCTAGGTTTTGCAGGTTTTTTAGTTGGATGATAATTTTAAATATTTCCTCTTTTTCCCATCATGCCTACTTAATTTTAATTATATAATAGGCAGTACTTTGCTTGCCTAACTTTTCTGATGTTGGCTTCCTTGCACTAACAGGAAACATTTTGGGATCTTTTAGTAAGTCATATAACTACGAATAATTAGAAAAAGGAACCTAATAAATGCAAATGTAAGTCAAGGAACAAGGAAATCTTGTTTGTATTTGTGATTTTACCTCCCATTTTTTTGTATGGCTTTGGGGGTGTGGTGAAGGACTGGATGGCTAAGCTCGGTTTATAGTTTGTGAGCTGTTTTGTATTTTTTAAACATAAAAATACTTCCTAAGTGTAAATTACCAAAACTCTGCATTTGTCAAAGATTTTGTATATTTAGTGTCTTTTATTTACCTTCTGAAATCTCTTCTTGGGGCTTCTGTAGTTCACAGGAAATTAATAATCAGTTCCTCTCCAAGCTTTACCTCCTCATGAGTCACTTCTTTAGGCCACTAGGGAGAGACATGGAGTCTTTGGGCCACGTCTCTTGGGAATCTCATGGCAAGGGCATAGCAATTTCGCTAAAGGCATTAAAGACACTTGCCCTGTGAAGCCTTCACTCAACCAATGAGGAACATCTTAGTGCAGAAATAATATACTGTCTTATGGGCTGTGGCACTCAGAGATCTAAAGTGATGTTTCATCAAGTGAAAAAGAGTCCCTATCACATCCAGAATATCAACTCATATTCACCATACAGGATATAAAAGATGGCTAAATATGAAAAGCGAATAAAGATACATAAAGATTTTCACAGCAAAAGAAAGATTTGATTACATCACCAACGAATATGATTTTGAAGATGAAAAATAAATTAACTTGAACCTCCAACCGCAAGCCCATCCATAACACACATGCATGCGCACACATGGGCACATTCATTCAAAGCTGACCCAGCAGGGAGTGACTCTCATACAGGCTTTTGGCTTCTCAGGAAAGACTTCTCATTTTACTTCCTTCTTCACACTTTCCTATTATAAACTCAAATAAGTTACCACAGGCAATAACCTGCTCTCAAACAGGTTACGTGATCTCTTTCACCAGCCACCTCTCTCTGGGTGTTGCCTTACTAAGTCATACTTTTAATAATTTGACTCCTCAGAGACAGAAAGTGAATAGATATCATGATATCCAAGGCATTCAAATTACAGGAAGTGTTAATGGGTCTTAGGCTACATTTTTGTGTCATTTAAACACAGGAGAACATTCTCATGATAACAGTTCTACCAACATTAAGTATTTGTGTTGAAAATTATTTTACAAATCACATAATACACTCTGTTCTGCAATTTAACACATTTTTTTGTACTCTCAAGGTTTTTTTTCCCTTGACCCCTATATTGAATTACAAATTCTGTTTTTTTAATGATTTATCCCCCAAATTTAAAATTTAAAGGTAGTTTGTTTTTTAAAAAAAATTATTCTTCTCAATGGTAAAACGTGTTTCAAAATATAACTGTGAAGGCAATTCAGTTTCTACACATTCAACATATGTTAATCAAGTCACCTCCCAGTTGACAGTCACACACCACTGGCCAGGGGTTGAAATAAAGCATTGCATTCTGTACCCAGTCAGGGGTACTGCAAGTCTTTGAAAAGAGGCGTCCCATAGAGTATGTCCAATACAAAACTTCTTCAGGAGTTCCAAAACCCTACTAAGCATACTATCCATCCTTATGTCAGATCTTAACGTTTTAGGCACACATTTTGGAAGAGCAAGTCAAAGCTGCCACAAATACAGTAACTCCTTGTTGAAAATCAGAATATCTCAAAAGTGCCTTGGCAACACTTTCCGGCAAAGGGTTAACACATCTGTTATTTAATAAACAAAACAAAACAGTCCACCTTACTTGTCAGTATTTTACCAGATTTCAGAAACGCAGAATTTATTATAAAGTTAAAAAGTCATGCCTGATGGTGACCTACATGAGATCCTGCCGCAGCCCAACTCTGGCCAAGTTCTCCAAGTGAATCTGAAGTCTTAAGCCCTCAAGCCGGTGACTACATCCTTTTCACACTTTCCCTAAAATCGCCTAGTGCTCCAGGCAAGAGCAACGCTCCGGGGAAATAAACCTCGGCTGCCCGGTCGTCCCAGCCCCTGAAGGACTGCCACTAATCTGGCGGGGAAAGAACGGAGCACTTCCGACCGGGACGAACCCGGGCCCCCCGGGGCCGCGCGCCCCGCCAGGGCTCCAGCCCGCTGGGCGCACCCGCGGGGACGGCTCCCAGGCAGGTTGTGATCTCTCACCAGCCACCTCTGCGGCTGCTTCACCTTGCTTTCTCCTGACCTGCCTTCCTACTTGGTAACAGCTTCATGCAAAAAACAAAAACAAAAACAAGAAGGAAACTTTTCTCCGAGGAAGCGCGCAGTCCGCTCGGTTAACTTGGGACGCAGCGCCCGGAAGGTCAAACAGCAACACGCACTTGGCGCGGCTCCTGGGTCCACAGGACCCCGCGCAGCCCAGCGCCCCCGCCGCCGCCCCCAGCCCGGCCCTGGAGCGCGCACCTACCTGGGCCTCGCCCGCGTCCGGCTCCGCGGCGGAGAAGCCGAGTCCCGGCTCGAAGGCGGCGGCGGCGGCGGGCGCGTCGCGCGGACCCGGGAGCAGCGCAGCGGCGAGCAGGGAACACGCCAGAGAGAAGCAGCCCAGCAAGCGCATGGTGGAAGGACCGGGAGCGCGGCGGCCGGTCCGCGGTGGGGGCGGGGTGGGCGCGCGGCGCCCCCGCGACGCGGCGCTCCCTCCGCAGAGCGCCGCCGGCGACCCCCGAGGGCGGCCGGAGGCGGCGGCAGCGGCCCGCGGCTCGGCGCTCCCAACGCTGCGCGTCGCGCTCCGGGCCAGTGCCGGGGAGGGGCGCGGGGTCAGGTAAAAGCCTCACAGGAAGCCGGACGTCCGAGCGCCCCGCATTCGGGGCCCGCGAGGCGCGGCGCGGCGAGGGCGAGGGCGAGGGCGAGGGCGAGGCGCGGCGCGGCGAGGCGAGGGCGACGGCTCCTCGGCGCGCCTTTCCGTTTTCGCTTTCTGGCAAGAGGGGCAAAGCCGACCCCCTCTGCGCTGCTCGGCCCCTCCGACCCCCCCGAGCCCGCGGCCCCCTCCTCCCTCCCCTCCCCTTCCCCGGTGCAGCGCGCGGCGGCCGGGAGGAGGGCGGCGGGGCGCCGCGCGGCCAGGCCGGGGAGCTCGGCGGCGCGGGCGGCTCCGGAGCGCGGGGCGAGCGGCGGCGGCGGCGGGCGCAGGGGCAGGGCATGGCTGACGCGCCCTCTGCCTGCGCTTATGTGAGAGAAAGCGGCCGAGGGAGGGAGCGTGCCGGGCCCGGCCGCCCTCCCCTCTCACTTTCCCTCGGAAGCGCTCCTCGCGCTCCCTGCTGCCCGCGCCTCCGCCCCGGCGCCCGCGTCCCACCCCTCTTCCCTCCCCCTCCCCCTCCCGGGAGCGCGGCCCGAGGGGCACGTCCAGCCGGGGCAGGGGGCCGCGCGGGGCGGAGGGGAGCGCGACTAAGTCGGCGCACTGGGGGAGGCCGGCCGACCCTTTGTCCTCGGCAGCTCCCGGGCTCCTGCCCTGTGCCCGGCACGCCTCGCCCTGCGCGCCCCGCTCGAGGTTTGCAAACTGTCCCGGAGTTCCAGAAGGTCCGAGAGAGAATCCTCACAATGGCGGAGCCCCGCCGGGACCTGGGAGCCCGCCGCGGGCCCCTCTTTCCCTGCATCTGGGTAACTTAACGTGCAGCCGGAATACGGGAGAGAGCTCAGAGTGCGGCGCGGGCTACTGGGCTGAATGCTAATGATCCCCTCGGAATCCAAACCCCTGGCGGGTGGGGATGAAGAGCCAGAACCTTCACGGGGAGGAAAGACACGCTGTCAGTTTGTGCAGGAAAGCTGGGTTTCCGAGAGAAAGGCAGTGATAAAGAGACACGTGTGTTTTTCCTATTGTAGAAAGTGACATCTGCGGAAAAGTCACTGTATTTCCCCCGTTGGAAAATCACGTTGTGGCGCCGATTGCCCTGCTCTCTCCCTCCTTGGGGCTGACTGCACGAGTCGCCTATGACCTAGCTACAGGGTTTCAACGGTGTTCAGAGCATGGAAAACCCGAGCTACTTTTAGATACACTGGTCATAGAATCTTAGACTGCGAAGAGACTTTGTTGCCTGATTCAACTCTCTTCAAGTTCTGCAACTCCCGCCACCCCTTAGGTACTTGAAGGCGCAAAATACCTGCAGGGACAGGGAGTCCTCTGTGCTTTTTGAAAATCAACATTGCCGAAAAGCATTTCCTTCCACGTCTCCATTGCTTTCGACTTCTGGACTTTACACAGTACATTTAATCTAACTTCCACATGTGAGTTCTTCGAATATTTTGAAAACATCTGTCATGTTCTCCCTATGCTAGCTTTCCTCCCAGCTAAATATCCTTTTTATGAAAACGACAGCTCCAAATTCCCTCATCAACCTTAATCTAATTTTCCATGTTCTTCATGCAGTCTACTGCTCAGAACAAGGCTCAGTAGTGAAAGTGTTCTACACGCGTGTAGAAAGTGTCTTCCTTGTCCAGCCATCGTGCATTTGTTGATACAGCCTCGAATGGAGTTTATTTTCTGGCAGCCAAATGAGTACTGACTCACCCTACACTTAAAATCTAAATTCCTCAAGAATTTAGACTGCTGTTCAGTCCCATGTATATTACCTTGCATTTGTGAAGTTGGTTTACTGTGCCCAAGATTTGAGCTCTGTTATTTATTATGTTCTGTCTACTCCGTGAGTCGTCCCAAGATCGCAGCATGTTGAGATGTTTTGGGGATGCTGGCACCCTGGTCTGTTACACTTCTTGCTGTCCTTCTACTCATATTTCATCACTTTGCCTTATTTATCTTCAGGTACTGATAAAGCTGTGAAAAGGGAAGAGCTAAAGCCAGACTAGTAGGACTGAAGTAGAAGCTGGAGCTTCTTTCTAACCATTACCTATTATAGCTATTCTCAACTTTGCACTTAAAATACCAAAAGGAGATTTCAAAAATGCATGCTTGAGTGCACCGTCAAGGATTCTGGTTTAATTGGACCCTAATAGGCAACCACATTGAGAATCTCAGGCATTTGCAACACTCCTAGGGCCTGGCAGAGAGTGAAGACTGCAAATTAACAGAATCAAAATGTATCAAAAATGTATCATGTGAACTGATTTATTTTATTTGAAATACAGCTGTAAGCACATACAGGCTTTTTTTCCTCTCAAAAATGTTACCGTTTTACCACTTATTATTTTAAGTAAAAGAAATGCTGGCAAAAAGTATCCTTGAGAGAAAAAAAAAAAGACTGCAGTCTCAGAAGACTGCATTCATTGTTGGAGTGTCTTCACTGTAAAAAGGGAGAATTTCTCTGCTCTACCTTTATCTGCCACTTTTGGCTGTTGTGCATTCTTTGGAGAGCAGTTGTAAATTTACCTTAGTTTTCTCTGGACTTTTTTTCTTTGAGACGTTATTCGATTTTCTTTTTTTGTTGTTGTTGGAAAAAGATGTATGAAATTTTTTCTAATAGTCTTTAATTTTATTATACTTAGTTGTACTCTAGATGATGTTGAGTTTAGAGCTGCATTGAGGCTTTCTTGGTGACTTTATACACGGTTGATTTTGGGACCAATTCTGTATGTGCTCTTTCTGTTGGATATTAAGTTTGAGCATATTGTAATATTTGTCCTGAGAGTGAATTTTATTTATTTGTTTATTTAATTTTATTTATTCATGAGAGACAGACAGAGGCAGAGGGAGAAGTAGTCTCCCCACAGAGCAGGGAGCACGATGTGGGACTTGTTCCCAGGATTGTGGGATCATGACCTGAGCCGAAGGCAGACGCTTAACTGAATGAGCCGCCCAGGCACCCCTTGAGAGTGAATTTTAAAATGAAATGTTCATGATGTTTTTTAAATTTATTTTTTAAGAGTTTATTTATTTGAGAGAGCGTGAGCAAAAGAGAAGGAGCAGGGGGAGGGGCAGAGGGAGAGGGAGAAGCAGACTCCCCACTGAGCAGGGAGCCTGCTTTGGGATCCTGGCTTGATCTCAGGGCTCTTGAATCCTGACCTGAGCCAAAGGCAGATGCTTAACCTCCTGAGCCACCCAGGCGCCCCCATGATGTTTTTTTTTTTTTTTTAATCAAATTTTTCGTTTACTGGTGTATGCCCATTTTTGTAACATCTGATGTTTTTATTTGAAATTCTACTTTTATTGGTATTAAATCAGTCTTTGAGAATTGAGACCATCTGTGAACATGACTTGTGGGAAACCATAACCTCCTTATATCAAAGTGACTTAGTTATTTCTTATAGGAAACTTTAGCCTAGGAAAGATAAGATTGCAAACTAGTAATTAAATCCACTGTTTGCTTCAGGAAATACCCACAAATCAATATATTTGAGACAATAACTGAACTCTTGCAAACAGCCTTATCAGTAACAGTTTACTCAAGACCCTCACCTACATGTGTCAACCAGTCCTAAACCGTGACATCACAACTTTGTCCAATCCTACCCAACTCTCCACTTTGAGAGACCTACCTTAACATACTTGAGTCTTGACTCTAAAGTCCTACAATTATTCTAGTTCTGACTTATCTCTCCTGAGACATTGCTAAAACTGTCACAATGGTGTTCTCCCTTATTGCAATTAGTCTACTAAATGTGACTTTTGTTTATTGAAGGGTTATCTGGTGATATTTTGGGGAGTTCAACCACCTGGAAGTCTCACCAAGATCCTATTGAAAATCCCCTTTGTACCAAAGCCCAAGTCCCTCAATTCAGAAATGGGGAGCCACTGAGGCCCGCAGTGATGAGGTAAGTCTTGCGTTAGATCTCATTTCCAGCCTATCTTCATCAGGCTATCAAATGCTAAGTGTATTTTGTCCTGGAAGGTTGCCTTTCAGGTATTCTTTGGTTATTTGATCAGATTTGTAGACGTATATCCCTGGGAGAAAGCTGCCTCATTATTAGCAACATTGCTTTTTGTCACTACTCTTTTCATTATCTTCTATTATTAATGGTTAGCAGGGGGGCGCCTGGGTGGCTCAGTTGGTTAAGCAACTGCCTTCGGCTCAGGTCATGATCCCGGAGTCCTGGGATCGAGTCCTGCATCAGGCTGCCTGCTCAGCAGGGAGTCTGCTTCTCCCTCTGACCCTCCTCCCTCTCATGCTCTCTGTCTCTCATTCTCTCTCTCGCAAATAAATAAAATCTTAAAAAAAAAATTAAAAAAAAAATGGTTAGCAGGAAGTTCATGTTCAAACATTATGTCTTCTAAGACCTGTCAGGTTGGCCATTCGAAGCTGCCTTGCCATTTGTTTGGGTGCCCAGGACATAAGGTCAACAAACCACAGATTTGACTGACCACTGCTAGACTGTCATGTGTTCATCTCAGCCTAAACCCAAATTGTGTCTTCTGAAAGTGTCTTGAGTGTATTTACTCTGTAACTAATACATGTAAGTCGCTTCCTAAATGGCATAATTTTACCAACAATAGTTTAACGTCAGTAGCCATTTTGGGAAACCTTTCACTGGAAAAAAATTATTCATTTGAGAAGTGGTTTAGAGTGGAAAGGGAGTAAAACTGCAACGTTCAATTACCTGCATTCTTTTATTGGTATGCAAAAGCTTGCAAGAGAATTCAGATGCCACGGTTGCCTCTCTAAATGTTCTGGTGAAGGAAACCAATGAAAAATGTGAAAGACTATCTCTTTTTTAGATCTGCTCAAACCACAACTTGAACATAAAAGTTTTGATCTTACTCTGCTTCTGTCCTATGGCCCTCGATTATCCCCTGCCTCCAACACTCCGACCAGCTGTCCTCTCCTGCTGGTCAGCCACCCGCTCTGAAAGCTGAGTTGTCTCTTAAAGTTAACCAGATCAGAACAAGCCCCTTATGGTGGAACTTAAGCCCTGATTGTGGTTTGAGCTGAGAGTGATTTTCAAAGGCTTTCCAAAGCCTGTGCAGGATAGGCGGAAATTTACAGAGCAATTTGCAGTGGTTGTAAGAACATTTAATTCAGCGTTCCCAGATCTGTATCAATTGATTTATATGTTATTAGGAACCTCATATATGATAAAATTCAATGGAAAAGGTGCTGTGACTATTTTGATTGTGTCTTAGAAGAGCCCAAATCCCGTAATAAAATCAGAGGAACTTAGAAAAACTATAAATATTAGACAAAAATTTTGGAGACCATTCCCACAAACAAATAGATGAATACATTGGAGACTTTGGGAATAGGCTCTTTAACCCCTTTGGAAAACATTTAGGTGTAGCTCTTAGAGCAGATATGACCACAGCTCTTTCCTCACGGAATGGCCTTAAGTCAGAAATAGGGGATTTAATATGCAAGCAAAAACTGGAATGGAAAATGGTCCTGTTGCTAGACCTCTAAACCCTTGCTGAGTAAAACCAAAGGGAAAAAAAGGAAATATGAAATCAATGAAGTTGCCACAAAGGACAGTCAAGCACTCAATTTCTAACTTTCCCTTAAACTCCCAAAGATTCTTACTGAGGAATATTTTTTGTGACATAACACCTGTTTTAGAGTATGAAGATTTTTGGGGGGAAAAATGCATGGGGATAATCTCTGTCAACTTGGCTGCTTGACATCATCAGAAGCCTTCAATTGGAAACTTGCAAACATTTAACAAGAAATTACCCACTCCAAGGAAGACAAATTGATCACTGTACTTTTATCAGCATTGGTGAGAAAATTTTATTAAGGTTGCTGATGATGTCTCTGGTTTAAGTCTCATCTGCATCAGATTAATCTTGGTAAAACTATAAAGATGTAATGTGGAAGAACCCAAATTTTAGGGTACCCTTGAATACTTACAAATGCGTTCGTAAAATTATACCTTGTGATGGAGTTTGAATATTCTAGTTAATATTTGCTAATTTCAAGGTGGAATGAAACTTTTGTTTGGTGGAAAGGTGTAGTTCTTATAGTAGCAAAAAATTACTTGACCTTCTGCTTTCAATCTGGGGAATTCCAACCTATTTCTCCACTACCAGAGGCACTCAGTGTACTGGGATATTACTGGAGAACTTTGCAAAGCCTTGATGTCACCTCGGACATTTTATTGTTCGTATTACTCTCAATCCTCATGAAAAACAGAGAAGGTGAGTGGTATTTTTAAACTCAAATGAGCACTCACTGACTCTTACCATAAGAATGCATCACAGGTCTCCTTTCAGGATGCACATTTCTACCCCAATTCTAAGCTCTACTTCGCTTTGGGCAGATGTGGCAAAACACTCTAAGAGACTCAGGCAATCTAATCAGTCTTAGTACTAACAGGGATGAGTTGCATTTCCTTCATCTTCTCCTAAGTGGCCTCTACATGACCTAAAAAACTCAGACTTTGTCAGCTAGAAGAGACAACATATAAAATGATGAGGACCCACAATGGATGGGAACTCCAGTAATTTTTGACCACTAGAGCAGTGGTTAAACTTGAGAAAGTAAATACTTAGATTCATGTGTCCCAAGTAAAAAAAAAAAAGTTTAACCCCACTGACAGCAGGACAACAGGATTGATTTTCCTTTAGAAAATTTAAAATTAGGAATTCTTAAGAATTCTTTAGAAGCAGTTGGTCTTGGGTGGAGAGAACTTCCCCAACAGAGCTTTGTGCCAACACTGCAAGATGGCAACTGCAGGATGTGGCCAGCCTCCAGCAGAGACCTACAGAACTAGATTTAGTTGACTGGGACCATGCTTGAATCCGAATGCTTTTTTTCTTTTTCCTCCTAGCAATTTTCCTTCATGATTGTAGGCTTAAGGTGCTGGGTAGGTAAACAACGATTGTTATTTCTTAACCATGAAAAATCAAGGTCTCTAACTTTAATACTGCTTTCTCTGTCCTTAGTCATTCCTTGCTGTGACTCAAAAACTGGGAGAAATGTGTGCATATTTTATCCAAAAAAAACAATAGAGCTCGGTGTTTTGCACACATTTGCATATGAGTGCCAACTGGCTAGTGCCAGTCCTTTGTTATGAAATATTTGGTTTCATCCATAATTGTACTCAACCACAAATTGGCTTTTTATGTGGAAGAGAACACAACAGGACAGGTAACCAAAATCCAAACTCCTTAGAAAGAAAGGTTTCTGCCTCCACTGAAACCACACTCAGGGACCATTTCTTAGAGATAACGTCTGTAAACAAGCTTTCATGGAGGAAAGACTCAGAAAGGGAACAAGGAACAGATGGTTTGTATTTAAGATCTGTCTCACATTTACAGACCTTACAAAGAAGGCTTAGTATGGAGATACTCTTGATTGCCTATCAGACCTACCCTGACTGACCTTTGGTGAACCTCTCGTCACCTCATGGGGTTTATGTGAATATTAAATTAGTTAATATATGTAAAAACTTAAAATAAAATGTAAAAAACATAAACTTGACATTTAATACTCTGAATAAATTTTGGATAAAGAATGACTAATAATTATGAATTAATATTTAATTATATGCTGTTAATGTGTTGGTATATTAATCTTTATTCCTTCCTTATATTTATTATATTTTTTCTGTTAGTCACCCTTATGATTAAATAATTGTTCAAGTGGATATAAAATTCTCGCACTGTCTTTTTTGAGCATTTTAAAAATGTCATTTCATTGCATTTCTCCATCAAATACTGCTACCAAGAAATCTGAAAACAGTAATAGTGTATATCCATATAATGTCTATTATGTATTTGGCTGAATTTTTATGGGTTTTATATATTGTAATGTATTTAGTACTCCCAACAATCTTACGACATGGAAATTATTATGATCTGTATTGTGTAAATGAGAAAACTGAGCTATGAAGAAGTTAAATATCCTGTTTAATGTTAGAGATAGTGCTCATGTTTGATAGACCCTGGATTCAAAGCAGGTGGCACCAGACCAGGAGATTAAGCACTGCCCCTACTTATTGCCTCCTTTCGAATATTGCTGTGAAGCTTTTCCTTGTTAGATGATCTGCCATTTCTTGTTAGAAAATTTTAGAATGTTCCCTTTGTCTTTGCTGTCGTTGAATTTTCCTGTAAATATCCCTAATGGTTTATTTATAACTTCTTTGGCACACTTTGGGTTTTTTTCTATCTGAGTTCATGTTTGTGTGTTTGTGTGTGTAACTTCTGCAAAATGATGGGTCATATGTCTTCAAATAATTTATACAAGCTATTTTCCCTTTATATTTTTCTAGAATGTTTTGTATACAGATGTTGACATTTTACCTTTATTTTCATGTGTTAACTTTTATTGCTTTCCACTCCATCTGTTCATCCTTTCCTAATGCATCCTAAAATTTTTCCCCTAATTTTGAACTTGCCCCCCATTGTTGATATCATCAATGATTCTTCTTTCTCCCTATGTATTTATACATATTTAATATTTCTGCCATAATATACAGGTTTCATAATTTACTTTTTTGACACTTTCCTGTGATTATTACAAGGATTATTGAAATTCCACCACTCACCAATTGTGATTGCACATCCCTCATACTTAAGAAAGAATATTGGCCAGCTCAGTTGGTAGAGCATGCAACTTTTGATCTCAGGGTTTTGCGTTTGAGCCCCATGTTGGGTGTAGAGATTACTTAAAAATAAAATCTTAAAAAAAAAGAATACTGGAAAGCCAGTTACTAAGTATGATGTTATTAGAGGGAAAAATCTTGATCAACTTTTTAAAACTGTATTATTTACAAACATGAGTGCCATAATTATTATAATTAATGAATTATTTGTGAGCCATCTCAACTGATTGCAACAATTGGTAGTCATACGGTTGTTCTTAAATATCCATGTGCTTACAGAA